CTCTTCTGGGTTCTTATATGGATTTTGGGATCAGCTTGTTAATTTCTGCAGAAAACCGTTTGGGATTTTATAGGGACTGTGTGGGTTCTGCAGATCAATTTGAATAGTATTGCCACCTTAACAGTATTAAGTCATCTGATCCACTAACATTGGATGTCTTTCCATTTATTTAGGGATTCTTTCATTTCTATTAACAATATTTTATAGTTTTCTTATTCTTTGTTTAATTTGTTCCTTTGTATATTATTCTTTTTGATGCTATTATATGTAGAATTTTTTTCTTAATCTTATATACAGATTGTTTATTGCTGTTACATAGAAATACAATTGATTTTTGTATATTGATTGTGCTTACTACAACCTGTTGGACTTATTAGCTCAAATAGCTTTTGTTTATGTGTGTGACTCCTCCTAATTTTTATATCCTATGGTGCATTTAACAAAGCAAATTAGTCCTAATGAGTTCTCAATCCATTTGCATTCCTTGATTCAATCTCTTTAAATGTGACATTGTCACAGAAGCCTTCTATCCCATGAATAATTATCCATTTCCCAATACCATTAAATCATTCTTTTTCTCCTTTACTTTTTATCTGCAGGCTTGGGAACAATGGGCCGAGGCATTGTCATTTCTTTTGCAAAGGCCAAGATCCCCGTGATTGCTGTAGAATCAGACAAAAACCAGCTAGAAACTGCAAACAAGATAATAACTTCCACCTTGGAAAAGGAAGCATCTAAAATGCAACAGAGTGGTTACTCTTGGTCAGGACCAAAACCCAGGTTAACTACGTCTATGAAGGAGCTTGGTGGAGTAGATTTAGTAGTTGAAGCCGTGTTTGAGGAAATGAACCTGAAGAAGCGTGTCTTTGCAGAACTGTCAGCTGTGTGCAAGCCAGAAGCTTTTTTGTGCACCAATACTTCAGCCCTGGACATTGATGAGATTGCTTCTTCCACTAATCGTCCTCACTTAGTCATTGGCACCCACTTCTTCTCACCAGCTCATGTCATGAAGTTGTTAGAGGTTATTCCCAGTCGATACTCTTCTCCCACTACAATTGCCACGGTTATGGAGTTGTCAAAGAAGATTCAAAAGTTTGGAGTAGTTGTAGGCAACTGTTTTGGATTTGTGGGGAATCGAATGTTGAATCCTTATTACAATCAGACATATTTCTTGTTAGAAGAAGGCAGTAAGCCAGAGGAGATAGATCAAGTGCTGGAAGAATTCGGTTTTAAAATGGGGCCTTTTAGAGTGTCTGACCTGGCTGGGTTGGATGTGGGTTGGAAATCTCGAAAGGGGCAAGGTCTTACTGGACCTATGTTGCCCCCAGGAACTCCTGCCCGGAAGAGGGGCAACCGTCGATATTGTCCAATTCCTGATATGCTCTGTGAATTAGGACGATTTGGCCAGAAGACAGGTAAGGGATGGTATCAATATGACAAGCCATTAGGTAGGATTTGTGAACCTGATCCCTGGATTTACAAATTTCTGTCACAATACAGAGAAACCTATCACATTGAACCACGTATCATTAGCCGGGATGAGATCCTTGAGCGCTGCTTATACTCACTTATCAATGAAGCATTCCGTATCTTGGGAGAAGGGATAGCTGCTAGCCCAGAACACATTGATGTTATCTACTTACATGGGTATGGATGGCCCAGGCACAGAGGTGGGCCCATGTTCTATGCTTCCACAGTTGGGCTGCCCACAATTCTAGAAAAGTTACAGAAATATTACAGGCAGAATCCTGATATTCCCCAACTGGAGCCCAGTGACTACCTAAAAAAACTGGCTTCCCACGGAAACCGTCCCCTGAATGAATGGCAGAGCTTGGCAGGGCCCCCCAGCAGTAAATTGTAATTTATCCTTCCAGGAAATTAATTCCAAAAATCTAAAGTAAGATTGTTGTGAAATAAAAAAGCAAAAGAAATAATCAGTTGGCTAAACCTCTTTTTAAGTCTTCTGTCTGATGATTCTAATGCAATGTTTTTCAATATTTTTTTTCTCACAGCACACTTAAATTATGTTGGTCAGATAAAAGAGTGTTGGCGGGGCATGGTGGTTCACACCTGTAATCCTAGCACTCTGGGAGGCTGAGGTAGATGGATCACTTGAGCTCAGGAGTTCAAGACTAGCCTGAGCAAGAGCGAGATGCCATCTCTACTAAAAAATAGAAAAACCAGCCAGGCATGATGCCTGGTGCTTGTAGTCCCAGCTACTTGGGAAGCTGAGGCAAGAGGATCACTTGAGCCAAGAAGTCTGAGGTTGCTATTGTGAGCTATGATGCCACTGTACTCTATCCAGGGTTATTGAGACTCTGTATCAAAAAAAAAAAAATACATGTATTATATATATATATATATGTACACACACTGTGCTTTGAACTTCTTTCAAAAATAATTTAAATCTTTAAAAAGTGTCACAGCACACATAAGATCCTTTCATGGCACACCCATTGAAAAATCACTGTTCTAAATGGGTCAAATCTTCAAGAATGTACTTCCTATCCGTCTGAATCTGTTACTGTCATCCATTCAGTGAATTAACTTATATGCATATAATACCATACTAGCTGATGAATCATACATGCATTCAACAAACTTTAAAGTTACAGGCAAAACACAGGTGGGAAATGGTGAGGGAACCAAGTACTTCATAATGGGAAACTCAGGGTAGCTTGTGAGTCATGGTCAACATATTCTGTCCCAGCCCCAGTCATGTGTGCATAGCGTGCTGCTGCTTGCAAGACAGTCATTTCCCAAGTTCAGGGAAGGTCCAAAACCTGGTCTCTCTGACCTTTTCTATTCACTGAGAATAGAAAGTAGTGAATTGTTAACGTAGTATAAGAAGGGCTCTTAGACAACATCTAACCTAGGATTTCTTAATTCTGTGATAATGATGGCAATTTCCCTGTCATGACAAGACTTTGTGTTGTTGTACATGGAAATGGTTGAATCATAATCCCAAATTATTGCAAACAAATTTTGTGTAATTTTGTTATAAGAGATCTCTCTTTACTTTTTGGCTTATGCAGTTAAAAATGAAGAGGCTCCGAGAGCTCACACGATATTTCCTAAACTTGATTGGAAAAACTGGCTAAATTAATAAAGAGGGATAGCCAGGCATTGTGGCAGGTGCCTGTAGTCCCAGCTACTTGGGAGGCTGAGGCAAGAGAATCACTTAAGCCCATGAGTTTGAGGTTGCTGTGAGCTGTGACACCACGGCTCTCTACTGAGGGTGACATAGTGAGACTCTGTCTCAAAAAAATAATAAAGAGGTATAAATTTGATATAAGACTAGGAAAGAGTCGCCAAGGTAGCAAAAATTATGGAGGGTGAGAGAAAAGAGAACAATATTCCTACTAGAAGAGGAACTGTTGAGGTTTTCAAATGGAAGAGAACATGGTCATCTTTAAATGGCACACGTTTCCCCACCTGTCAAACAGAATTTGCAGAACCACAGAGAACATTTCCATGGATGCCCACCAATACAGCATGTTTGAAAAGTGATGTCCAAGCCAAACACCAAATGGGATTTCCCGTTTTTGGAGACCTAGAGATCATTCTTCTTGGTGGAATGTCCAGCTCTAACCAGCTTAGAGCTGCAGATGTCTGAGAGTTAAAAAGGTTCCAAGAAGCAGGCTATAATGGCATTCAGCCTTCAGTGGGGCAGGTTACCTGCCAGGCCAGACAAATACCTGAAGATACACATGTGCTCCGTACAAGAAGAAGGGAGAAGAAATCACTTAAAGCAGAAATAGAGACTTTGGGTTATGTGTTTAATTAAGATATTTATCTGCACATCCCTGAGAACTGACATGAGATGGCTTTTTGCTTTGCTCTTAACTGTTACTCTTCAGTCAGAACTTGTTTAATGCAAAAACAAATATGCAGCTACTTGGGAAGCTGAGGGAATCACGTAAGCCCAGGAGTTGGAGCTTGCTATGAGCTGTGATGCCATAGCACTCTGCCAAGGGCAACATAGTGAGACTCTGTCTCAAAAAAAAAAAAAAAAAGAAAGAAAGAAATATGAACTAGAGCTAAAATTAAGTGGCTGGTTAACACAAAAAAGTATACATGAATTTTATATAGCAGAACAAGTCATAATAGACCCAAACTGGAAACAATCCAATCCAAGTGTCTGTTAGCTGATAAATGGACCTAATGTGGTGTGTCCATACAATGAACTCCTATTCAGCCGTAAAAAGAAAGCACTGGTATGTGCTACAACAGGATGAACCTCGAAAACATTACACTAAGAGAAGCCGGTCACAAAAGACCACTTACTGAATGAACACATAGTGAAATGGCCAGAATAGGCAAATCTCCAGAGACAGTACATTAGCGGTTGCCTAAGGCTAGAATTGTTTGGAGGGAGGGGATGGGAAATGACTGCTCATCGGTATAGGATTTCTTTGGGGGTTGGTGAAAATGACCTAAAATTATTGTGGTGACAGTTGCATAACTCAGTACCCATACATTAAAAACCATTGAACTATATACTTTAAATGGATGAATTGAATGGCATGTGAGTTGTATCTCCAAGCCATTAATAAATGAGACTGAAGTTGTTGTCCTTTCTGGTGTAAATGAACTGTCTCCACAATATTTTCACCTGTAGACCCAAACAAAATTGTTAGAAATTGTGATGGAGAAATCGTGAATGGATATAGTACAAGTTTTTCATCATAAAATAGAAAAACAAAACAAAACATCCAAGAGCATGTCTTGAATTGCAGCTCAACTTTGAATAATTTTTGAGTTGCATACTACTGAATTTTATACAATTTGGTTTATGAAATAGAAGACATCAATGGAAAAGATTCCTAAAAGTTGTAACTTTGTCTCCTAGGTGACTTATTTTCAAATCAATGTAAAATTTTTAAAAACCACAGTAACTTTTTTCCAAACCTTGAATGGATTTTATTTTGCATTCTTTTTTT